TGCCAAAGAACCAACAAATCTTTTTTGGAACAAGTATAGCCAGAATGCTCCTTAGAGGCAAAGATGGCAAGACTTACCCTCACATACTTGTTTTCAGGATAGACTAATCCCAGGAAAGACATCATATTTGGTAAATAGAGGGGCAAAGAAAAAGAGGAAGACTTTGACAAGATATATGGAAACAGGGGCTCCAACAACAGGCTCCAACATAGGACATGGGCAATGATAGCACAGGGCCGTGCAGTGTTTGCTCTATTGTACACACGGTCACTGTGAGTCGGAACTGACTACTAACAATGACACCGAGTATGATGGACTAAGGAGCCCTGGTGGTATAATAGACCATGTCATAGGATGATAACACCCAAATATGCAGTTTGAATTCAACAACCACTCTCTGGCAGAAAGATAAGGCTTTTGGACCCTTACATATTTATGGCCTTTGAAAACCAAAGGATCAGTTCTACTCTTTTCTATAGGAGCTATGTTGGAATTAACTTAATTGCAGTGAGTTTTGTTTGAGTTTAGTATGGTGAACTCATATATAACAGATTCCTGAGGTATTTCTGTTGGTGTTCAATTAGGTAGGAGGCATAGAACAATAGAAGAGCTGTTTTTATGTAACAGAAAGAGTCTGAAATTGGGCCATAAGCTTTATCCTTTCCACAGTGAGTTTCCTATAGTTCAACTGTGGGCTAAGTAAGGCAAAGCATCCATTTCTCTGTCTATAAAGGGGAGTATAAAAAATACTTATTTTATTGATATTAATTAAGAGTCTAACGTGTGTTTATATGTTCAGAACATTTAAGCAATCATCATCTAATGATTAAAAGAAAAACAAAAAAATCTATAATCACTAGGAAAGTAAAATCTAACATGGATTTATTTCCAAAAACATCTCAACTAATAATATTTTCAGTGAAATTCAAAGATATGTGTACTGAGATTAGGAATTGCAAGTTGTGTAAAAGAAAAATGAAAATCCTTGTAATCTTGTTTACATCTCAAGTGTGATATAAAATAAAGTCTAGCTGAGAAGGCCTTGGTTACTTCAGAGAAAGACTGAATGTTTGCAATGTAAAGAAACACAAAATGATAATATACATTGATGTAACATCTATAATTTTTTCCTAAAATAATTCTCTTTTTCAAAAAATTTAAAAGCACACTAAATTCTTATTGCTCATGCTGTTGTTGCTGTTATATGCTATCGAGTCAGTTTTGACCCATAACAACCCTGTGCACAATATAACAAAATGTTACACAGACCTGAGCCATGATCTCTATGCCTGAACCCATTGTTGCAGCCACTGTGTCAATCCATCTTGTTGAGGGCCTTTCTATTGTTCAATGACCCACTACTCTTCTAAGGATGATGTCCTTCTATAGGGTCCAGTCTCTCCTCACTATATGTCCACAGTATGTAAAACAGGGTTTTCCCATCCTAGTTTCTAAGGAGCAATCTGGCCAAATGTTCAATGTTTGATGATGTTTAAAATACTAGGCACCATGTTCCACAGACCTATAGCTACAGACATGTAAGTATTAGAAAAATCAAACATTTCTAAAATTTCTTAAGAAAGTGGCACAACCACAGGTTGAAAAATCACTGATGAATATGTTAAAATCTAAACTCTTGTTATAATGTAGCCTTATCTTCATTGCCTTATGTTTTTATGATTACGTGAAATTCATGTTCTTTCATACGAGGGGCTTCAAAAAACTAATGGAAAAATACATTATATTTTAATTCCTTTTATCACAATTTAAAAAAATCCCCTGGGTAAATTTCTTAAAGTCATCTAGTGTTTTAATTTCTAGGAATTTTCTTTCAATTATAATTCAAATGTCATCTTTATCATACAGATAATAACTTATAAGGTATACATTAGACAATAAATTAATCATTCTTTCAGTTATTCATTGATCACCTACTATCTGCCTTTCCTGTGTTAGCCATTGTGTTAGTCTAGGTAAACTAGAGAAACAAATTCATAGGACACTCATATGTATATAGGAAGTACCTCTATATACAACAGCAATTGAATATTGAGAAAACATCCCAACCCAACTCAGGCCAAGTCCATAAGTCAGATATTAACCCATATGTCCAATACCAATCTATAAAATCCTCTTCAGACTCACAAAATACATGAAATAATGCTGAATGCAGGAGGATTACAGGCCAGTGAGTTGTAAGTCTTGTGGATCCAGTAGCGTTGTAAGCATCTCAGTGCTGGCAGGGGTCTCTATGTGGTTTCTCTGGCTCCAAAGGTCTTGTTGCATCAGGGTAGGTCCATGTGGAGAATCTAGCTCCCAGGGCATAGAGCCATGTGTCTTTTCAGGAGAGCATGTCTCAGGGAGTGAGTAGAGAGAAAGAAGTGTCTCCTGTCTTCAAGGAGGACATCCAGGAATTCCCAGAATTTTCTGGAGTAAGCCATGCCCACACAGAGGCCTCATTGGTTATATATTGATTGATGGGCCAGACTCCACCACTTCACTCATAATCCTCTCAAATTGACACCATATTATGTAACTACCACAGCCATGGATCTAGGTATTTTACCTTTAGGTCTCATACTAATCCATCACTGTAGATAATATTTTGTCCTAGTGAGAAAAGATAAAGAGCTATACAAACATAAAAGACAACACTATAAGTGTTATTAATGAGGTCATTCACTTTTAGGCTTCCCTTTTCTACATGGAGCCAGGTGAGGCAAGGAGAAATTAAGGCTTACATTTCAAAGTCTCATTCAAGTCTTCTGACTGCTCTGTGTAAAATCTTTGGATCTTTACAAATGGAAAGGTAGGTCCAATTGGAATGTCAAATCGTTCTGCATATTAAAAATGCCAGGAATGTAGTTCCTTGGAAAGATTTGGAGGGAAATAACAGAAGATTAATAAGTTGAGGGGGTTTTAATGAGTGTTTCAGGGCAAAGAGGTGAGATTGAGACAATGGCAGCACAGGTAAGTAGATGTCTGGAGATTGCAAGGAAGTTTGGCAGGAGCGTATTTTGCAGAGGGAGTAAATGAAGGGTTTATGATAAAAGAGATATGTGATAGTCACTTTTGAGTTGTGTTGCTTATATGCTATGAGTCATTCCAACGATTATATGACCTACTTTTAGAGAAATCAAGGTTTCTTAACAACTTTGTTTTGTAAATTAGCACAAAACAAGAAAGAAAAGAGAAGTCTATCATCAATGGCTCTGGAAATGTTCATGAAGCCACAGCTGTTAGAGTTTAGTGGCATCAATATATTACAACAGTGGCATTAATATATGGCAACAATATATTACATTGTTGTAATTGCTGTATGTGAAACTCCATGGGATAAATCAAAATATTAGGGTGATTATTATACTTTGTGGTAGTTACATAATATGCTGTCCACTTGTCAAGGGGGTGGATTCTAGCCTGTCAATCAGGTCACAGCTTGATGACCTCATTTGGAGGCTCCACGGAGATAAATAACTCACGGAGGCCAGATACTCACAGGCTCTCTGCTTTGTATTCCTGATGACAAGAAACATGGAGCTATGCTAGAACCCTGGGGCTGTCGGAGTCACGTGGAGACACATGCTAGCACTGAGATGGTTACACCACCGCTGGATCCACAGACTTTCCACCAACTGGCCTGTGAGCTTCCTGCATTTGGCATCATTGGATGTGTTGTGAGTCTGAAGAGGAATTTGAAGATTGCTATCAGACATATGGGCTAATATTGGAATTATGGACTTGATCTGGCCTGGGTTGGGATGTTTTCTCAATATTTAATTGCTCATGTATATAAAGCTCTTTCTTATACACATGTGAGTGTCTATGAATTTGTTTCTCTAGTCCACCTGGACTTAGATACTTCCCATTAGTGGTGAGATAAAAATATTGAGCTAATGTGCTTAAACTCAAAGATAAAGTGATTTTGTTAGGTAGCTAGACACAGGAACCAGGGGTTCTTCCTCTACACACCAAACTCCGCCCCTCCCCGCCACCCAGGAAGTTGCAAACCAATAAAGGTTAAGGTGCATGCGACAATTTAGGCCTGAGCCAGAGAGGCAATACACCATGGTGGGCCCAAACTCGGCCAGGTAGGCTTAATTCAACCAATGGGGTTAACCAGTACTGTCAAACATGCCTCCCAGCCTAGCGCCCTAAAGGCTGGAAGCTGGAGACCACCGCTCTCTTTTCCCTTCAGCTGCTTCTCCGCTTTCCACGTGGCTGTACCATGGTTTCTCTCTCAGGCCTCAGGCCGCCATGTACGGGTGTGTAGTAGCATGAGGTTGCCTGTGTTTCATGACTGTAAAACTTGACACTTCTGTCCTTCTATAAAAAATCTCACTTGGAGCACAAATCAGACTTCAGCTTGAATTCTTTCTCATGTGAAACCAAGAACCAAGGTATTTATCACCCGAGAAACTTAACAGTTTCAGCATATATTTAGATTGCATAGCCATTTTAAATATTAAAATTTAATGAAGGTAGCTACATATTTTGAGAACAACAGCTTCCTTGTGATCAACTGAAAATTCAAATAGAGCAGTTGGATTCCAAACTAGTGCTCTTTCACTTCATTACCTATCACACTCATAAAGAAACATGCATGACATGTACATTTCTAGTGTATTAAAACATAACAATTTAAAAGCATTGTTAAAAAGAACATGCACCCCAATATTAGTGAGATTTTTCTGAACTAAGCATAAATTTCAATAAGTAAATAGTATATCATGAATAATTTATAACAATAGTTACTTTTGATGACAAGAAAAGGATTTCCAAAACTGTAACGAGCATAATATTGTATGAATAGATACATTTCTTGCAATCTCATCAATTGGTATAAATATGATATCACTTTGAAGATGTGGCTCAAAACAAAAATTAAAATAAAAAAGAAGAAAGTGTTCATATTGTTTTCAGTTATATTTAAGCAGTGGCAATTATTATAGAAGGTGTTATAATAGAATATACTTATGATTATATTAAGAAAACTGGCAATACTTACCTGGCAGGGGAGATACCATGATCATGAAGGTGGTTTGCCCAGGGCAAGGCTTATCCATTACATTCTGGAGGTGCTGACTCCTGCGATTTCTCCACATGTGGGAAACTCGACTACATAATTTGAGGTAGTAGGGGACTGTGATCATGCTCTTCCCGGTAAAAAAAGAAGAAGAAGAAAAAAAAAAAGAAAGAAAACTGGCATATTTCATCACACACACACACACACACACACACACACACACACACTTATTTATTTTTTAGTGGCATTGGAAGAAGGAACCCAGGTGACAAAATAGGTTAAATACTAATCTATAGGCATAAAAGGTTGACCTGCTAACCACTAGGTCAACAGTACAAACCCACCATTCATATGAAGGATGAAAGGTGAGGCTATCTTCTCCCACCATAAAGATTTACAGATTTATAAACCTTTGAAATTCTATAGTTTCCATGGGTGGGAATCGACGTAGCAACAATCAGACAATGAAAGACAGAGCGCTGGATAACTTTGTTTAGATCAACTGCAACTTTTTGAAGACCCTGATATAAGCTATAGATTAAAATTATAAACAAAAAGAGACTGCTGTATGATAAAAAATAATGTCAAGGACGTGTCTTGAATAGTTATTTTCACATCAAGTAGCAGAGAATACCAATTCTCATAAAATTTTAGAGGGAAAAGGAGATTCTGTAGTCAAATGAATTTGAGAAATGTATTTAATAAACTTAGAATGATTTATTGCAGAAATTACCAGAAGTCAAATATTAGTAGTTTATAAGTCTCCAAAAGTATAATAAAATAGACAACATGTCTCAAATATACGTGATAATGAAACACATCCATTGAGGGCCACACAAGAGATAACATTATTTAGAAAGCTCGTTAGAAAACATTTTCCCAAATGGATCATGGAATACTTTCAGATTAAGATCATTCTAAGTGTTTGATAAAGATCTCCTCTACATAATACATTGGACTTGGTGCTTGTGAATTTTGCTGTTGTTCATTGTCCTTGAGTTGACTGCCATTCAGGTGGCCTCAAGTGTACTGAGTAGAAATTCACTACAAAGTCTTATTTCTGAGATGTTTTTGAGCTTAAATCACCAGCCTTTTGACTTGTAATTGAAAGCTTAAACATGTCCCAGAATGACTCCTCTAGGGGACAGCTGGAAGTTAAGTTGTAAGCAAGAATAAGGTCACCATGAGTTGGAATCAATTAGATGACAACTAATTGAGTTGTGTTCAAATATAAATACAGCATAATAAATTTAGGATTTATTTCTAAATGAATTAATGCACTCTTACCTAACTGGTTGATGGTTAGGTTTTAGGGCTGACCTAGCACCTGTAAGAAGATATGGGTGGAGAATAAGCTATCAATCCAGCCACGGCCTGCTGACACCTACCCAGGGGTGTGGCCTAATGATAAGAGAAACACTATGAAGGAGCCCTCTTGCCCTTTGCCTTACTCTTTGATGGCTTGCAGTGCTTCATGTGTGGGTCTGCCTACACTGGGAGCTAATCGTACCCGGGAAAGTTCCTAAGGACTGTGGATACACATGACTCTACAACCACCAGCCTGTGATTTCCCAGTTCCAGCTTTGCCTTCTTGCTTTATTTGCCACTAGCTACTTAAGTCTCAGGGCTGCCAGCTAGAATCTGACCCGTGGACTTCAGTTGGACTGGCTGGGCTACTTCCTTTTTATCTTTCTTTCTTTTTTTTTAATACAAAGTAAACTTTTGATTGTGAATTAGGTGAAAGTTTATAGAGCAGATGATCATTTTTGAAAACTGTTTTTGACATACATGTCACATAATATGCAATTGAATCATTTACCTATATTAAAAATGTTGTGAAATAATTACTGCAATCAATTTTAGAACATTTTGTTCATTCTTGTTCCCATTATTCTTACCTCCATATTATCCCCAACCACACCTGCCATAATCCAAAGGCACTGTTAATTTAGTTACGGTATCAAAAGATTTACCTATGCTGGATTTCTTATCAAGAGATTTATACCAAAAGCCCCAACCAAAAAAAGAAAAGAAAACACGCAAAAACATCAATGCAAGTGAAGGCAGGAAGTAAGAAAAACTAGAATGAATTAAAAATGGATCAAAAGAGAAAACAAATGATTGTATGTTAAATTCTAATTTCGTTATATTTGCAATAATCTGTTTTCCATCTCTGTCTGAGGAGAAGGTGATTTACGTCCCTGGTCAATGATGTGAGGGAATTCGATGGAAGCTAATCTGTGTAGGGACTCTGGAAATGGATGTTGTTGGTGGCTCTCCTTGTGTCCTTCATTGTACTGTTTTAGGGTTTATTCTACCTTAATTTTTTTTGATGAATAGGTTAATTCATTTTCTTTGAGGTTAACCTGCATTTATTTATCCCAAGATCAAGTAGTCTATTGACATTTTTAAAATTATCTTGCTTTTTTTCTCTATTTGCAAGTGCGGTAACAGCACTATTTCCTCCCCCACTTTTTGCTTTCTGATTGTCTGTGTTCACAATTTGATACCTCTGATTTCCTAGTTCTAGTCTAGTAAATTTCTATTAATTTGAGAATTTTTATATCTGGGTTGACTTTGTTATGATGCTCTCATATATTTTAATATGAGAAAACTGTCTACTTTTGTTGGTTCTCTGTCTACAATGATTCTTTTAGTATTTAATTTCAGCTTATCTGAAAAGTCTAAGTTCATGAACATATTTTAAGGACAATTTTGCTTGGCATATAATTCTTGGATGTCATTTTTTTTTTCAGTTTTGTATATGTCATTCTATTGCCTTCTTTCCTGCATGGTTTCTGCCAAGAAATCAGAGCTTAGTATCATTGATTCTTCTTTGTAGATGGTTTTTCATTTTTCCTGACTTTTTTCAAGATTCTTTCCACAGCTTGGTTTTGGAAATTTGATTATATATCTTGCTTACTTTCTTTTGGAATCCTTGTGTTTGGGATTCTTACAGGTTTATGAATGCATATCTTCTCATCTTTTATTTATTATAGAAGTTTTCATCCAAGAAGTCTTTCTCTTTTGCTTTCTCCAAGTACTGAAATTCTTATCACATTCAAGTTACTCCTCTTGATAGCATCCCACATAATTGTTAGACTTCTATTTACTTTAGATACATTTCCTGTTTCTGAAATTCAAGTATTTATTTTATGGATTTTTATTTTTTTCTATAGTTTCTAATTTTTCATTTATTTTCTAATTTTTTGTTTATTTTGGTAATTTGTTCTTGTAATGCTGTCCTGAACTTTCTAATTTTTTGGTGTAGATTTTACTTTATTTCACCTATGACTTTTCAATAATCTAATCATTCAATTGGTTGGAGTTACCTACATATTATTTTACATACCTTAATAGGTAGTTCCAATTTCAAGTCTTCCTTAGGAAGTTCTGATAAATCCTTTAGCCATTCTGTAATTTTTTCTTCATGTGAACTAAAATTATCTTTTGTATCTGAGAAAATTTGGTGTTGTATTTAATCAGTATTTAAATGTTGTGTATTTTTAAGAACTCATCACCTATCTCCTGGTTAATGTGCAGTTTTTTCTGTTCACTGTTCATGTAATGCAGTTGAGGACGGGTTTGAATGATGTTGACAGTTTCTATTACTGAGCATGTGGTACAAGAGTGGGGAGAAACCCATGCCCAGATGGTAGGACAGCAGTAACGATGGGTACAATTCACTCTTAGAAACATGTTTGCTCTTTCCTACTGCATGAAGCACGAGGAAGCACACAATGTAAAAACAATAATGAAACAGTAAGAGCAGAAGTAATAATTTGGGAAACACAATAAAACAAGAAGAATACATGGGAAAATAAAAACAAGAAAAAAGAAAAGAAAGAAGGGGAGGGGGCATATAAAAACCAATCCATGGAGGAGAAATCTTAAAAAGCGGAGAAAGAAATAAAAACAAGACATAGAAAATAGGAAAGCATTGAACATGTGCACTTGATTTGGACTGGGCTAGATCACTCTCTTGATTTCAAATTCCTTCTTATACATATATAAATGTCACTGTTTTTTACTCTCTAGAGAACTTAGCCTAACACAATTTTATGAGAGCTGTGTCCTTAGAAACCAAACGACAGTCATGTGGAATTGTTACCTTTGTGTAACCATGGTCGGACATGCTCCATGTGGTATGCAGTACCCTTAGATTCATGTAAATACTGAGCTTTTGAGAGAAAGATTGAAAAGAAAAGGGAAATGAAACTATTGAGTCTTATAAGTTTCATTTGGTTATTTTTACCTGAGATGGCTAAAAGGGATATAATAGATATTAAATTGCATCTCAGGGGGGAAAAGCTACTGTTGAACATCCCAAGAGTAGAAGCTATGCTGTCTAAACAAAACAGGACCATACACATATGAATAAGATGCCTAAGAAAACTTTTAACTTTAATATTTTAAAAATAATTATATTTAAGATCTGAATGTACTGTTTGTATTGATTTCTCCTACCTACTGTTGCAGACAAAATGTGTGATAGTGTGATAGAAATAAATATTGGAAATTATGATGAGAAAGAACTTGTATACTAATATCAGCAGTTACAATTATATTTGCTAAAACAGGAATTAGAAATTGTCCAGAATAAACAGTTCTTATTTTAAGCCATTGTGGAGTAAAGGCACAGCTTTCCATTTAAACCCCTCCCAGGGCCTTGAGTGTAATGGCATTGGCATTTGAAAAGACAAGCAGACCTACCTAGAATGATGAGTCACTGAGGAGGAAAGAAAAATGACTTGTTGGACTCTGAATTGAAATAAATGTAAGAAATTGCCAATGTATGCACCTAGGCTAGAAAATTCTGTGCTAATCAAGGAATATTGCCCCCCCTCTCCCCCCCCACCCCACCCCCACCCCACCCCCACTACACACACCTTACTTCCACCTCTTTAGGGCTGAAAGTTAAAGGGAGTCTCTGGGGAACCTGAGACGACGCCCTGGATTCATTTGTTGAGTGGAAGTGAGAGAAAAGTAGCAATGAATAGAGTAATTGCGTCTGCCACTGGAACACATGGCCCTGGCTTTCAGGGGTTAGAGAGGAGAGATGAAGAAGGTCCGGCTGGTCTTGACAGACCACTAGATTAGGGACAAGGGGGTTATCTTCCCAAATTGCTAATTCCTAG